CCAGCAGCCAGTAGGGTGGGGCCCGCGGCGGCTGGGAGTGGGAGCGGCTCGTGGGTGGCCGGTGTGTGTGTGTGTGTGTGTGTGTGTGTGTGTGTGTGTGTGTGTGTGTGTGTGTCTGTGCAGACGCGTAAGCGCGCTCGCATCTTTGCAAATAACGGGTTACAAAAATTGCCAGTTAACAGATTGATACAGCCGTGGTCCAAGGCCAAGGACCCCCCGGACTGCACTTACACACTCACACACGTGCGCTTTAAGGGTCTTTATTGGCCCTTTGCCACAACAATGGCGGGGCGAGCCCCTGCCGCCACACACGATGCGATTCACCCACCAGACTCACAGACGCACGGGCAGGCGGACGCAGAAACACACACACGCACACACACACACACACACGAGGCTGACCCAGCGACCCAGATATCACAGCGCGACAGTGACAGGATGCACCGCCTTATGTATTTTGGTGAATGGACGGCCCGCCGCCGCGCCCTACTCGCCCCGCCTCCAGCCGCAGCACCCCCAAACCGAAACGCGCCTCTGGTTACTTTGTGTTTGTAGCGGAGGCCATGCAGGGCCAGGCGGGGCGGGGCGGGCCAAGGCACAGCACGCCGTCGAGCAGCCGGGATGGGAAAGTTGGTGGCCGAGTGTGTCGGGGTGTTGTAGGGACAGCCCAGCTGCCAGACACTCCATCTGAATTTTATGACAGGTCTTGGTAGCGCCACGCCACGCCTTGCGAGGTCCGATCACATTCCGAAAGGTGTTTGAGGATTCGCCAATTTGGACCCTCTCATAACGATGAAAATATTCATATAAAATTCACATATAAAGACGGGGGGAATGAAAAATGCGGCTGCCATGCTAAGTGAGCTTGCGATGGAGTTTCATCGCGAGGCGAGCCGCGGTGGTGGTGTCGGGCCAATCCCTTCATCACTGTATTCACAACAGTTAACAAGAGTTTCAAACTGTTGTTTGGATTTAGAGGTTGAAATTATCACAAACTGCACCCTATCCTACTGTTTACAATAAACAATTTGAGTTGTTTTAAACTATGTGACCCTCGAGTTGCCCTGAAAATCACAGACATCTAGCTCAACACTGTAAACCCAAGTGTGTATATTGTACACTCTTCCTTGTGTGTAACTTGAAAGCTCAGACAAGGAAGTGCGTGCTTGGCATGGCACACACTACGGAGTGTGTACTTCCAAGTGTGTGCCACGCATGTCCACACAACCTAGTATGTACCATATGCCAGGCACACACTTCCTTGTCTGTGCTTTCAAGTACACACAAGGAAGAGTGTACAATGTACACACTTGGGTTTACGGTGAACAATCCTCCCTCTGTTGCACTAATGTCTTGGTAACTGAAATTGCAGAAAATAGCACGTTTGTGGGCCAGTAGTGCAGTAGTGTATGGTGTTCTTGGAAATTATAATTTTCTACATTGCCAGAAAATTGCAGTTGAAACTAGTTAAAACTGACATCTTGTACTAGAGTTTGATTTGAAAAGTGAATTCCGCACTATTGCGCCTTCGATACAGTAATCAACTAATCAATCCTTGCCACCCTGGGACACCCACATTGCGCTCCCCCCGACTTCCCCACTTAGGGATGGGGCGTCCCGACTGCGCCCCTCCGAAATAAGGATGGTTCAGGAAACACCCTTTTACTGATTGCTATCGCACTATGAACATAAAGAGAAAAGAACGCTTGTCATGGTTGTCAATGACCTCTATTCCAGCCTTCCCCCTTACGCTTGCTCCATGCGCCCTATGCCCGCCGCCCTCTGCAGGTGCGCGGGTGCACTCTGCAGACCGAGGGGGCGCCAGGGCCCCCGCCACACCGGCTCAGCCCGCAGCCCCAGACCGCGTGGAGCTGGTGCCCATGCGTGCCGCGCCCCACCTC